GATTCCTAATGACCTTTTTGTAGTTGAAAAAACGCAAGCTTAAGGAAGAGGCGAAGAGGAAAGCACAGGACGTGGAGCGCTCAAAGGACGAGCAGCTTTCAAAGAAGCGCCAGAGAGAGGAACGACGTGGAAGGTACAGAGAGCAGGATAAACAAAAAAGGAGAATTCGCAGAAAATCGGAATGACACTTTTCAAGTTGTTCCATCTTCTTCTCGGTGCATGAGGGCAATGTAAAACTGTAGCTCTGAATACTTGGTGAAATCAATGGTTTGCAAATGACAGTTGGCAGTTGATACTGATGAGCAGCTACAAGTCATGGTGACACGGGTCAAGCTGCTAACCAAAGAAATTTCAGAACGGTGTGTGGAGCACAGAAAAGAAAACTCAATTATCGGAACAGATGGAGAACATTTAAACATGGTAGCTCAGTTCTTGTAAGGATTTTTTTCCCAATTTTGCTAGGCTCTGTGGTGAGAGTTGTGGAAATTTTGTTCTAGTCCAAAGATGTGAAAGTACACATTTTTTTGGGAAGACTCCCAAATTCTGCGATAGGATTAAGCATTGAGCTCGCGAACGTAGCTTTGGGAGCTCAAGCCATGCTATAAGAGTAAGTCTTGAAAAGCTTGAGCTTTTGAATCAAAATGGTTAACATGAAGTGGGTCGCAACAAGTGATTTTACATTGATTCTACCTTATTAGATGAACCGCACTATTCGTACCGGGGGGTGTACAAACCCCCCGGTACAAGGAGAAAAATCCTTATAAGTTTGTAAATCTGTTTATGGGTTGCATTTTTGTCCAATCTCAACAAGTGACTGTGAACACGCGAAATTGTAAGTAAACAGTAAACTTTAACCCCCCGGAAGAACTTTCTGAGAAGCAAATGTAAACCCGACACAGCTCTTATCTATAACAAAATAGTCTGCCTGTTTCTTGCAAGAATGTTAATCAATTTTACTTCCAATTGATAATTCCTAAATCGACCCCACTGCTCTAATAATTGAAATTTTATGCAACTTTTATTGTAGGACCATGCTTGACACATTGATATTGACAATAACTGTCAGATCTTTTACGCAGGGGACTCCAATTACGGTGTACACTTTGTGTATAAGTAATTTAATCCTTTATTGTTTTCCGGCTGCGAGCCAACTATTGTAATTATGGATCTATATGTCCAATAATTTTAGGCTTAGAAAACATATTGATGCTAGGCACAAAAAGATAATTGATACATGACATAAGTTGCAATTGAATACAAGATGATCATTAGTATATGACACATTTAGCGGAAGATGACTATTGTATTGGAGCATTCGATGCTATGTCCCATAGAGTCTGATCAACTAGTCATTCTTTTAGCTTGATAAGGCTAGACTAAACACATTGGTCAACTTGGTCAAAATTTGACTTAACTAGATGTTTCAAAATTTGGTAAATTTCATCTGCTTTCAGTGAAATCTCAACTCGAACTTCTAATTTGTCTCTATTGGATCGATCAATTTCAATTTAGTTTTAAGTGAGTCATTTAATTCCAATTCTCATCCTTCCATCACTTGCCGCCTCTCAAATTCAAATGGTAACTGATCATCCACGTAATCGCTTTCACCATTATGCAATGTCATAAAAGTGTTAAAATAAGAAAAAAAAAAATACGCATATTCACCTTTTAATTTTAATACATTGTCGTAACCATTATTTTACCTTTTTTGATTCGAGGGTTGTATAATGATTATGTGAAATATCAATTAAGATATGACCGCCAACTAAATAATTTTTATTAGTTTGGAAAATGGTAGGTGACGAAAAGTGACGAAGTAGTAACATATGAAATTAAATTAAAGTTTAGTGACTGAAATTGAGATAAATTGAAATTTAGTAACCAATTGAATTTCTTTGCAAGTTGAGTAACACGAATGATATTTACCTATACTCAGCAGGCATGTCCCTATGTAGGATGGCAAAGTTCCTCCTTCCAACATGATGGGGCAAGGAACATGGTTCCCATCTCAAATTCCTTGAATCCATCTCAAATCTTTTTATCTTATATTTTTCGATATAAATAATTAAATGGAGGCGATAAATGAGAATATTTTAATCTCCACTATGTTCTTCCTTCGTCAACTAAATGTTCCCGACGAGTAGGGACGGAATTGCCAAACTGATTCTGATAGAATCCTACATCGAATAAAGATGTAAACATAAATTAACTTATAAAGGATTGCGTTACTCCTCTTAATAAGGTTGACCTTTTAAGATGGAACCCCAATTTTTAACATGGTATCATAGCCCAATTGCTAGCCGAAAATCGGGAACTAAGTGCTACGCGGAACAAAGTATTACGCCATAGGGCGGGAGCCACCTCTAGAATCCCAACGCCTGACAACGGATCCTTAGATGGATCAAGCGCGCGAGGACGTCGCGAGTCTAATGGGGAGTGATTGTAATACCCAGACCAGGAAAGTACAGTTGTGTTTGGCTTGGAACAATTATATGATGGGTAACCCCTTGAGAAGTTTTCTTAAGGAGCGTGCGAGTGAAGATAAAGCATGCTGAAAAGACCCATGTTGGTACAGTGGGGACACTACGTCGTTGATCTAATGGTTGGGACAGCCCGTTAAGTGAGACCCGGGTCGTTACAAATTGTATCAGAGCAGACCCAATTTTACAATGTTGGGTGCACCCAATATCGATTTGTTCACAGTTGTTTGGTATAATACACGCTGTGCGTGAGGGAGCGTATTAGAATCCCAAATTGACTGATAATATTTACAAGATCCACTTAATAAGGTGAGGACAATTCTCCCTTAACAAGCCGATTTTGTTAGGTTGAGTTAGACCAAATATCCTTTCTAATATGGTATCAGAGCCCATTAAGCTCAAACGAGCAATTCGATCCGGTTAAGACTCCAAAAGTGAGCATACGAATTTCAAGATTGGTTTGCTCAAACGAGCCACCATCTTGCGGGAGCTTGTTAAGGGATAGAATCCCATATCGAATAAAGATGTAAATATAAATAAATTTATAAAGGATTGTATTACTCCTCTTAATAAGGTTAACCTTTTAAGATGGAACCCAATTCTTAACAGATTCCATCCCTATCCCTGTGTGTGAAATCTTGTTTCGAGGGATAAAGGGTGAGTAGATCCTTCATTGTTCAACCTAACTTAGTTGGCAGCCAAAAATTAGCCCAGGAAAGAACTGGCTAAAATTAGGAACCAGCTTTGACTGCTGACAAACGGAAACAGGAGACTAGAACTAACTATTGCAACTCAATTCTTCATAGAAAACTAGTTCTAAACAAAGTGCATCCAAAGACGATACCACATTTTTTCTCTTTTTAATCAAAGAACCGCCAAGTTGATTAGGTGAATGATTTATCACACTGAAAAATTCAAAAAATGAGTTACAAACATGAGAGGGAATATATAACTTTTCCTTCAGCTTATGAAAATACAAATTAGAAATATTTAACCAATTTAATAAAATGGAACTAAAGATGAATATACCATACAATATTTCGCGTGTCTTTGTCGTGCTTCTTGTCACCGTGTATTGAGTTACGTACTTGGTTGGCTTTCATAACCATCATCACCATCATCTTCGATGATGCCAACATATGTTACAGTTCGAGTACAATATCCATCGAATAAATTTAATAATTATTTGATTTATGTATCTATTTTAAAATGTTAAATCAATATATAAAAAATTGAATGTACATACATGGTTTAGACTTGGTCACTCATTGCAATATTTCTCATCTTCATTAAATTAATTGAAGCTCTAATTTTGAGAAAAAGAAAAAGATACAAATATCCACTTTTAGGTACCTCCATGAATAATGTGAATTGATTTGATAACAAAGTGTTTTTACAATAACCACATCTTTTCTCTTTCTCGTGATGTTTTAATTTGTGTTCCTTCTGATCCACGCATTGTTTAGGGACACAATAAAAAGTAGAGAACTTTTAACAATTCATTAATTTAATGAGAATATTTCCTTTATTTTTATTTCATGAACTTTATATAAATAGAATCCAATAGAACAAACTTTGAGATTGCATCACGAATGGATACTATTTACGTCCCGTGATGAAAACACGATATCTCACGGATTTTAAATAAATTTACATTAATATTCAGTTGATGTAGTTACTCATTATACTCGAGCTAAGGCTTTACCTCATTTTATTAATTTTTATGTCGTTATCGAATATGTGATTTTTATTGAAAATTTTAATGTGGTTAGTTAACAACAAATTAATATAGGACTTTTAATTTTCTTAACTTATAGACTATAAAAAAATGTTACCTATTTGATCTATAATATGTCTTCATTCTCTTTTCTTGATCTTTCAATCATTTTCATTGTGAAGTTTGCTTAAATGGAAAAGCCATTGAACAAATTTTTAAGGAAAATAAAGTCGATCAACTTGGAGCTGGGACTTCTTTTCACTCTTTACTGGTATAAAAATAACGATATCGAAAATAGGGGCACTGATTGAGCCACCTTTTTTGTAAAATGAAAATGAAAAATATAGCCGTTATTGAGGCCTACACAAAAGATAGAAAATTTGAATTTAAATGTTGATGTGATGGATAACGGCCATATTTTTCATTTTAATGAGATAAAAAGGTAGCCCAAACGGGGCAGGATTGACAAACAAGTTATCCATTTTTCATTTTTACTCAAATTTTTTTTAGAGTTTCCATGCCAATTGAGACACCCTTAAAAAAAGAGAAATCATGTAGAGTCTCAACCTCCATTTTTCGAATAGAATATCGACATATATTTCACACGTCAGACTAAAAATAATAAATTTTGCTTTTATTATACTTTTCGTGCAGCCAGATAATGACTCAAAAAACATGTTTCTCGCCATACTTTCTGATTAACAAAAAACAGTAACTTGTGGTCCACATACATTTGCTCCTAGGTAGTGTTCATGAAAGTTGTAACCCTAGTATAAATTAAAACTTCTGCATGCAAATTTATTACATGATTCAAATCCAAACAAGAAATCATTGAAGATTTTAGTCCATTTTCATGGCACCAAGCAGAGAATCATTCCTCAGAAATTCATCGAAAAACAACATGGTTCATCAAAAACCCTCAAGTCTCTCATTTGAAAACCTCCAAAGAACAGTTTCAGACATCTCATTCCAACTCAATGAACTCCTATCCAAAGAAGAAAAAGTATCGGAATCTGCTGCTGCTGCTGCTACTGATAACAAAAAGGGACTTATTCTTCCCCCACTATCCGAAATCGAAGATGCCAAGTGCGAGTGCTGCGGTATGTCCGAAGAATTTACCCCAGAATACATAAAAAAAGTGCGCGAAAAATTCTCGGGGAAAATGATTTGTGGGCTGTGTTCAGAAGCAGTGAAGGAAGAAATGGAGAAAAATGGTGGAAAAAGAGAAGAGGCATTGAAAGAGCACATGAATGCATGTGTGAAATTCAATAGGGTTGGCAGAGCATACCCTGTACTGTTGCAAGCAGAAGCCATGAGAGAAATTCTGAAGAAAAATAGGGCAAACTCGCTTAGTCCTAGAGAGAAGGGAGAGGGGGTGGGGTTGCAGACGAAAGGTGGGATTGCTAGGAGTTCAAGTTGTATTCCAGCCATTATAAAGGAGATTAATACTCAGAATATGGTGAAGTGAGTTGCAGAAAGTTTTGTGTTGACAAGAGAGCCAAGGTTTATGCTTTATTTGTTGGATTACTTATGCAAAATAATGGAGTTTTAGGGTCACTTGAATTATTCACTATAGGTTTTTCATTTAGCTGATTCCATAATAGAATATAGTTCTTGTATAATTAATCAATGTGTTATAGTATGATTAGGAACATTCTCTCTCTCTCTCTCAGAGAGTATGAAAATAATGTGTAATTCTAATCTATGATATTTTCCCGATGTTTAGGGATTATTTCTTTATAGTTTGGTCATGTACTCAGTATAATTTTTTTCTTTCGCAGTTATATGTACCAATTTTCTCTTTGTAAACAATAAACCAAAATATTGTACAAATTCTTGTATTTCTTTCAATGATTTTGTCTCAATTACCTTGAATTCATAGTTCATAATTAGATATATTGTATCACGTGTGTTCACTAAAACCAAAATTCAAAAATAAAAATAATATTTATTCCTTGTTTTATTTTTAAGGCCCCGTTTGGCATCCCTTTTTTGGGAAAAATTCATTTTTAAATAGTGCATTTATCATTAAAAAATAGAAGCATTCAATTGTTGTGTCAGAGCACACATTCCCTTCATTCAAATGACCGTTGAATTACACTTACCAATTTTGGCCTCAAATTAATTTGCAATAGTGCACAATATAAGGGCATTTCTGGAATTTAATCTAAATAATTGTACTAGCTTTTGTACCCAAAACCGTGTTGGGAACGGATCCCAGCAGAGTCTGACATGTTGAAAGACACTGGGGCCCACACATAATGCAAGTTCCTGTTCAAAAAATGGGAAAAAAGGGGTGCCAAACGGGGGCTAAATTTCTATTCGAATTCTATACATTGTGCATATCCACACATAGAGACACGAAACAAGATAAGGATAAGAAGAGCGAGAAGAATATGTTTAGTGTGATCTTACTTCATTGATACGTGCAACTGTGCAAGTGAC